TCCCTCCCTCTTCATACCCATCTCGCCCCTTCTCTCTCTCCCTTTCTCTCTCTCCCCCTTTCTCTCTGTCTCTCTCCGCCTCGTCTGTCTTTGTCAAAGCCTTTCGCATTCTCTTTGTCCCGCGGTGGCTAGCAGTCCTCTTCAGGGCCTTTCTCTCCGTCTCTCTCTCTCTCCCCCCTGTCTCCCCCTCTGTCTCCCTCACACTCTTACAATCTTTCTCTCGCTAAAGCATGTAAAAAGGTTCGCGACAAGAGGGTAGGGGGGAAAAGAAAACACTACTAAAGAAGTTGTCTAGACTCACCTCATCTTAAATCGTCGAGGACCCTGCTCCCCCAAGTTGGAGCCGTGGGCCTTGGTGGAGTGAACATGGTCCCTTCTGACCACTTCTGATATCGCCCCGTCGGTTCTTGTTCCAGACATTACAAGCTGGAGGCGGAGATCGCCTCGATGACGTGGAGAGTTTGCGCCTGTGATATTAAATTCCCCAACAAGTCCTACAACAAGATGGGCGGCGGCGGCATGACACGCCGTGGCAGCCAAGTGGTAAGCGTCCGCCGGACCTGGCCGTCCATCCTTCAAGGTCGTTGTGCGGGGCACAGCTTAATAACAATTCGCGACTTCGTGTTTCAGACGCTGTATTCAGAGGACGGCGTAAGCCTGTTCGAAGGAAACAGACAAGTTTTTGTGCCGACCGCGATGTACAAGGTGACTACTCAAACCTTACCGTCGCGTCAGTCGACACCTCATTCGTCTTCTTGCTTTATTATTTGTTGTTGCTTACATTTTACTATTGCCCTTTCACTTTGTAATTGGTGGACGATATCTTGTTTTCAGGGTTCTAAAGTAGCTGTTAAGGCAATAGCTGATAAGGTGGAGCTTAACCGCACCCTCCTCCTCGAACTGAAACGGGTAAGTGTTGTTTGTGTGAGGGGACGCGAGGTGGGGCGGAGAGGGGAGTGGACGTCGCCCGGCGCTACCCCACGCAGTCTCGCGTCACTCCCGCGCCGTCGCACGGCTAGCGCCCACCAAACTGAGCTTAGGCAACCTGCCGCGTTTGCCGTCGATACTCCACTCAGTCGGCCCGTGCGGAGCTGTTCTGCGCCTTGTTCGGCACTTTTGTGTTACTCGATAGATTACAGAATAGGAGTTGACACGCCTTTCTTTTGCCGCAGTTAAAAGACATCCACCACGACCACTTGGCGCGCTTCTACGGCGCCTGCCTGGACCCGCCCATGCCCTGCGTGCTCGTCGAGTACTGCCCCAAGGGCTCGCTCCAGGACATCCTGGAGAACGACCAGTTCAAGCTGGACTCCATGTTCCGCTACAGCCTGATGCACGACATCATCAAGGGCATGTGCTACCTGCACAGCAGCGAGGTGCGGTCGCACGGCGACCTCAAGTCGTCCAACTGCGTCGTGGACAGCCGCTTCGTGCTCAAGATCACCGACTTCGGCATCCACCGGCTGCGCGAGGTGTGCCGCGAGGAGGAGGACTCGCACGCCTACTGGAGACGTAAGTGTTTGGTTCAAAATTTCCGGAAAACTTCCGAAAAACAATAACAAAACAGAACGTTTCCGGGTCTTGAAACATTTTCCTTATTTTTCCGGAAATTTTCCTTATTTTACCGGAAATCTTCCTTATTGTCCCGGAAATTTTTCGAAAATTTCCGAAAATTTTCCAGGACATCTGACCTTACGTTAGTGCGCCCCGGCGATACCCCCGCGGCCCGGAGTAGCGCGCCCGCCCCGCGCCCCCGGCGCTACCCCGCGCCGCGAAGTGACCTACCCCCGAGCTCGTGTGTTTCGCAGGGAAGCTGTGGACCGCGCCGGAGCTGCTCCGGATGGGCCAGGAGGCGCCGCTGGACGGCACCCAGAAGGGCGACGTGTTCTCGTTCGCCATCATCGTGCACGAGATCGTGACCCGGGAGGGCCCCTGGTCTGGCATCTCGGACCCGGACATGTCGCCGTACGGTAAGTCGCTATAGCGCGCCGGGGTTTATTACTTGGCGCGTCTTTCAAACTCAGCAGCGGAAAGCGGATTTAACCGCGCTAAGCTGCTGCGAGCTGTCACGACGGAGTGGAATTGCGAGTATTCTCTCTGTCTGTCCCAGTTTCGATTACTTTTCCACGCCGTCCGTCCGCTGGGCAGTGCCACTTTTATTTTCCCGTGGGGCCAACCACGGCCACGCGCGCTCGCGCTTTTGCATTTCGTCGTCGTCCCGTGCAGCGAGGGGATTAGCTCTCTCTCTCTCGCTGCTGCGAAACGATGACGTTGACAGGCGCGGCGCGGAAAGCCGCTCCGGGATAAGAGGACAACGAAAACAAATAAGAAACGGGGGCAAAGCAAAAACCACCGGCAAACTACGCGTCGTCCCGACGCACGCGCGCGCACTGTGGGAGGCCGTTAGGCCCCACGGACCACGGGCTCGGCCCGGCCTGCCCACGTCAAAATCTCGCAGCAACGGAGAGCGCTTCCAGCGAGGCTTCCAGCCAGCCGGCAGCCGTCGGCTCTCTGCCTCACCCCCCGCGCGGCACACACTCCAGTCACACTCCACTCGGAATCGTTTTGCAGTCCATATAGCCGACCACCGTCAGCTCGGTGGCCACAGTCACCACTCCACACTACCCTCCCGAGCTTGGGCCGCCGGCCTATCGTCCTTCCACGGCGCTGAACCTGCGGCCTGGGAGTGACGCGGTGGCCCCCGGGGGCGTTGGATGAGCGTGGCGTGGCGTAGCGGGGGGAGGGTGGGCTGTGTAGAGGACGGGAGCAGCGTGGCGCGTGGATTGGCCGACTCGACGCGCGCCTTTTTCCTCCCCGCGCTGCCACACCAGAGGAGCTGGGTCAAACACGCGAACCAGCAATGCCGCGCGGCTCGGCAAATCTCAGAAAAAATTTCTTCATCTTCAGAGTATAAAGATAAAGATGTCTCTTTTATTTTGCTCGTATCTTGAGTTTCGTTGTAGTGTTTGTCCGTGCCGTCAGCGGGGTGGTCGGAGTGGTGTGGGTTTGTTGCTGTCTCGGGCGGGGCGGGGGGGTAAGTGGTGTCTTCTGTGTGTCCTGCTCGCACCACTGTCTTGCCGTTCCCTGCAAATGGGGGCCGCTGCTACGGCGCGCTTCCAGAGTGGCAACACCCTAAATCCCCTGGACACTAACGCGCGCGCCCTGCGCCGCTTCCAAGGGGCCGGGCCGTGTGCGGGGTGTGCGGCACCACCGCACGCCGCGCGTGTGTTCGCGTTGCCTATGCTCGACTCGACGGGCGCGCGCGGTGTTGTGCAGCCGCCTCCAGCGATCAGGTAAACACCAAGGGTGTGAGTGTCGCACACTTGTAGGTGTGTGAATGCCCATTCTTGAGTAAAGGTGTACATTCACAATTTTCCTTTTAAAATGTTACACTTGTGTCTCTATGTGGACGAATGGCGTTCACACACAAGTGGGTACAAGTGTGTCACATTCTTTACACTTGTGTTTTCGATGCTGGTTGTGCCATACAACCTTACCCCGCGCCCGTGTGTCCGCGTTGCCCGTGCTCAACTGGCCGGGTCGTGGCACACCCTGTACGCGGGGCGACACGTCCAGGCGGCGGGGCGAGGGTGTGTTATGGAAGCGGGGGCTGCGGG